CCTTTGGTTTTTGACAGTTTGCCTATGATGTTCCATGGAAAGGATCATTTTGGGGTTGTGTCTAATTGGAGACCTTTGAGCTTCCTGAATTTGAATGTCCACATCTCTCCCAATACATGGGAAGTTTTCATTTGTTATTTCATTAAACAAGGTTTCTGTGTCTTTTTCCATCACTTCTCCCCTGGGAACACTTACTATTCAAAGAAGTCCCCATTTTCTTGACTGTGGCAGAATAGCAACTGCCATGGGAGGCAGGTTCAGCAATGTGGCTCTGAGCATCTTTTGGAGGCTCAGCAGAGAACTTGTTACTCTGGCTCTCCTAACTTCTGTATTAATTCTTTTCTGATTGAAATGTCGGTTTCTGTTTTATTTCACTGACATATTAGATAACTTGTTTATTCGGCCAAGAAGGGCAGAGCCTAAATTCAATGTTCACTTGTCTGACCCCAAAGCCCACACTCCCTTTGTTGGAAAGATATGGAGTGAAATTCACTTTCCATCTGGTAAATGCAGATATCCAAGAGATGTGGTGGGGAGGGAGAGAAGGGAGGGACAAAGTTGGCTGAGCTGTTAAACCTGCCTGGCATGAGGCACTGTTTCCTTCACTTGTATTCCACCCTATTTCATGCTCCTCTGGTTTTCCTCACAGTCTTTTCCCTTTCCCCATTCACTAAGTTGGGACAAAGTTTATTTGTTTTCTGTAGAGAACACATAAAAAACAAAAAGGAACCAATGAATGTCTTTTCTGTCACAAATGCCTAAGCCCCCAAATCTCAAATACTAGATAAAATTTCCCCAAGTTGGAAGGTGGCAGATAATCAAAGAGGAATTTAAAAGAGCTAAGACATGTTAGGTCCCTGAAAAGGTACTAAGCTCTGTCCCTCCCACCCCCTGTCCCCAGACTTAATCCTAGGATGGGTGAGATGATAGATGATAGAAACCCCATGTCATCTGGACCCTAGAACAGAGGGATTCTTGTGTCCTTTCCTGGGTAGAGCCAGGGAGGCCCTCAAGGCTCTCTGCACTCAGCACAGCATAGAGCAGAAAAAATGGCTGCATGGCTTCCCTTGGCAACCAGACATTCCAACGCAACCCCAGGGGCAACATCAGGAAGCCATCCTGTGGAGCTTAATGAAGAAGACACGCAGGGCCAGACATGAAGGAGTATGCTCAGGACCCCAGGATGGTGCTGCAAAGACCTTTTCCACTGGTGGCTTAGGACAAGGTAGAACAACACCCCAACAGATGCCCAACCGTGCCAACAGCCCTGAGGACCAAGAGCCCCATCCTCAGTGCCCAACCCCTACACAATACATTAGTCCTGGTACTTAGACAAAACCCCAGAAAAAATTTGGTGGGGATGAGTGGAATAATCCTGAGTTGAACGATGTGAAGTTTCTACTAGGGCTTGAGATTGGATTAAATCCAATTATTCAAAAAAAAGTTACATTTCTTGCACATGTGGGCTATGGGTTGAGTGATGTGTTCACTTACTACGCAAGCTTCCATCCTAGGATTAAGTCTGGGGACAGGGGGTGGGAGGGACAGAGCTTAGTACCTTTTCAGGGACCTAACATGTCTTAGCTCTTTTAATTATTCATATCTTGACCCTCAAGAGTCATTGGTCAAGAGCAGGGGTCAGTAAATTAAAGCCAGTAACAGCCTGTTTTTTATTTTCCTGCCTATTTTTATAAGTAAAGTTTATCAGAACACAGCCATGCCCATTCTTTATGTGGCTGCATTTGTGCTGTAGTGGCAGAGTTGAGTAGTTGCAAGAGAGACTGCTATGGTGCAAAGCCTAAAATATTTACTGTCTGGCTTTTTACAGAAAAAAATATGCCAACCTCTGGTGTAGAACATGATCTCTGGCTGGCTCCATCTTGTCCCTTCCCTTGCACACTTGTCCTTTTGCTGACACCTTTTGGGGGAAAAGTCTCAATTCAAAATCAATGAAAAGGCTCTGCCTTTCTCTGCTCTTAAAAATGTATTTATATCCAAACCCAGCTTCTCCTTCCTAAACTTCCCCAAAGATCAGTTCTCTTCTGACGACTCTCTCTGTCCCTTGCCTCCTGTGCTCCTGCACTTTCCTGGTAGCCTGCTGTCTCTGACTTTTTCTATTGTGTATTTTTTATGGGCTTCTCTTCCCCTGCCAGACTTTAAGGTTGGCATTTCCCAGGGTCGTTCTTGGCCCCCTTGTCTCACTCTATTCATCCTGCTACTCCCCAGAATTATTCTCAAGAGGTCAAAGTTTCACTAGAGAGCCAACTTCCAAAGAGGTAAGCTGTCCTAAGTTACTGATTTTAGGAATTTATTCCCTTGGCTTAGACAATACCAATACCTTAATACCTAAATGGAGCACTCGAGTTCCTTCCTTTGGCCACTGAGTTAGTCAATAATAGCCTTGAGCAAATAACTCAAGAGTAGAATGATCACTTAGTGAGCAAGAAATAAAAGGCCTAACGGTCAATCATACAGGCTCTGGAGTTACATTTATAAGCTGTAATTTTGAGGCTTCATCTCCTTATTAGCTGTGAAGCCTTGGGTAAGTTGATCAACTTCTTGTGCTTCAGTTTCCTCTTCTATAGAATGGGCATAAGATATGAGAATTAATATATTTACTATGGAATGCAGTAAATATATTACATAAGCTATTAGCACTGGCATCTCCAAACCTCAGCCTCTTTTTGAAGTGATATGCTTACTCCTAACCTTTACCTACCTTCCACAATTGCTCTAAAGACATGAGAGAATGTTTGTAGAATTAGCATGTCATTGGCAGTGAAATTTTTAGGTTCAAAGGTATTTATACTGGAATTTTCCTTTTGAATCAGATTTTCAGAATAAACTATGTGTGTTCTTTTTTTTTTTTTTTTTTTTTTTTTTTCTCTCAAAGCAAAAAACGTGACTACGTGACTTAGATTACACTTTGTGTCTTTCCAGTCGGGATTGTAGTCTACATTTTTATCTATTGAATTGTCCTTTAGATGACCTAATGGAAAGCAGTTCCCCCTTCTTCTCTGTTCTCATCCCTGTGGGTTTTACAGTCACAGCACACAAACTGCTTGGCCAGAGGAGTCCCCTCAGATGTCTTTAAGGCACAATTTACACCAGTAGTTCTCAAAGTTTAGCATGTAGGACTTGTTAAGTCACAGATTCTTGGGCCTCATTCCCAGAAATTCTGCTTCAGTAGGTTGGGAGTCGGACTCCAAAATTTGCATTTCTTAGAAATTCTCAAGTGAGGCTGATACTGCTGGTCCAGGGACCACACTTTGAGTAGCACTGGTCTACCCAGACAAGGCCAAGTGGCTTCTGGCAATTTGAATCTATTTCAAGTGAGTCTTGCCAAAAAACTGTTAAGAGTTGGGCATCCCTGTTTATCAACATAAGCAGAAAATAGTCACCTTGCCACTACACTCTGTGTAAATAGATTCTAAGACCATAACAACAAAAATAATAGGCATTTATTAAGTTCTATGTGCTACACTTTTCTAAGTTCTTTACTCATATTAAATTGATTTTTACATTTTTAGTTTATGACAGTCTTTAAAAACAAATAGTAGCATCCTCTGGATCATCTTTGTGACTGTCTTAAGCTGACATTCAAACTAATTGCCTTCATTTTTGTTTGTGCCCATGATCTCATTAACAGCAAGAAGTATGATTTACTTGTCAAGAGCTATGAGAAAATAGAAAAGGTAAACTTAATATGCATGAGATGTACCCAGCTCAGGGATGGCTACATGGAGCTTTGAATGAACCAGCAATAAAAAAGAATAAAACCAGCCATTCAAAAGATGTTTGTTCCGTACTTACTATGTACCAGGCACCATGGTAGGTGCTATGGGTAGTAATAAAAGTGAAGACATAATCTATGCCTTCAGAGAATTTATAAGTTCATTTTACTTACACAAACTTGACTCTCCATGAAAATGTTAAGGACATTTTGAAGGCCATAAATTATATTTAAATTTTTTTCTTTATAGATAGGTTTTACATTTTAAAGTTGGAGCATAAATACTTCTTCATTTAAAAAAATTCTAATGACTGATATGGTTTTACACAATCTGAACATTTGAACTTTCAAAGATTTGAGATGTCCTTGAGCCATTCTTATGTGACTGGGTCCTTTGTTTATTTTTGTGGCAATCTTTGGCATCTGAGATCTCCTACTTGGCACACCATCCAACCAATTCGGCTCAAGGACAGTTCCTATTCAGCTTTCAATGTCCTAAAAGCTAGAAAAGTGCCTAATACTTGGTAGGTCTCCAGAAATATTTGTTGAATGAATAAATATAAAAATAAATAGATGAAAGTATTCTTTTCTCTGAAATCTTATAAACTTATTATCTGTGCCCTCATTGGGAGTGTAATCTCACGGGACTTTAATTTACACTGAGTCATTTTCCTATTTCCTGTGTTAATATTTTATCCATTCTAAATGGATTGCAATTTTATTATGATTCCCCTTACAGCATCTATCACAAATCTATGTTCTTTATAAATGAAATATTTGTTGAATATAAGCTATTATTACTTCCTTCCTTCTTTCCCTGTTTTCTTCCTCTGCTTCTTTCTCAATCAACTAAAGTGCATAAAAACGTATTCTAAAATATTTATTGAACAAAGTCTTACTCTCTTTGATCTTAATTTTAAAAAAGATGAGTTCAGCAGTTTCTCTTTTCTTTACAAAACAAAACAAATTGAACACAACAAAAACAAAAACCCACAACTAAGTAAATTTAATCATCAATTCCTTCTGACTATGTATGAGGTTGTGAATAGAAAAAAAGGTTACTTATATCTAAGCTTAATACTCTAACAGATTTTCCCTAAACATCTATGACAGCTCAACGAAGATGAGGAGTTAAGAAGAGATAGGAGCAGAGGAGGAGAAAATGGGAAGTTATTTGGGGAAAAGGGAAGAATCCAGCTTGAGGGATTTCAACAACCAATACAGTAACTCTTAACTAGGAGAAAATTGCTAATCAAAAGTTGCGTACCTTTGCACCCCTCACAGGTCAGTGCATTATAATGGTATCCAGATGCTCTGTCTCCACAAACAACACACAGCTCATCCCCTTTTATTCTCCCTGCTGACGTGCCCATTCGGGGCTTCTTTGTGACAGGTATCTCTGCTACCTCACTCTCTTCCTGGTACAGAGTCTCAGCTGGCATTCGCCTGAGTTCATATATTCCAGGAGAGTACCAGTCTTCAGGCTGCTGGGAGTAGAAACCCAGGTTGGAATAATAGGATGATGAGGAAATCTGTGGTTGAACTTGGGGAAACTGAACATTGTTGTACTGTGAGTACGGTTCCACTTCTAGATTCTGTCCCAGAGGTCCTGCCGCTTGTTCTGTTAGTACACCTGAACAAAAGTCACAACAAAACTGGAATTAATGTCATCATTCTAGAAATTAGAGAGGCTGTTTAGCATAATTAGGAGTGTGGGCTCTAAGAAAAGACTGAGATATTTAACTATGTGAAAACTAACAACTTTTTACAGCATATATTTTATATATATATAATTAAGTGACAAATTACAAGCTCAGAAAAATATCTGCAATGTAGAGGACAGACCAAGGATTCATATCATTAATATGTAAGGAGCTCTTGCAAATCAATAAGAAAACATTCTCAAATCCATGGAAAAAAGAATAAAGGACACGAATGAACAGTTTTTTAAAATACAAGCAAAAGTGTTTTATAAACATACAAAAATATTTTTACCCTTGCCAATAATTACATTAAAATTAGAACTACAATATTATAGCTTTCATTGTTAAATGTGTAAAGTTTTAAAAAGTTTGATAATACACACTGTTGGGAAAACAAACATTCTTGAAGGGCAACTTGTTAATACCTTCCAACATTTAAAACTCAAATACTCTTTTAATCCAGCATAAATTTTCCACTGCTAGAAAACAATTTTTAGTTAAATGTTTGAACCTATATGAAAAAGTGTTTTTGTAAAAATATTTCTTTGCACCAACTTTGCAAGAACCATAAATTGGAAACAATTTAAATATTCATCAGTAAAAGTCTGGTTCAAAAAATTTGTTACATCCATATACTAAAGTATTATGTAGGTGTGAAACAATAATTTTGATCTCTGTGTGCTGATGTGGAAAGGTTTCTATGATATGGTGCTCACATGGGTATTTAAAAAACTGTGTGTGTGTATGTAAGGCAAATTTCTGCATGATACAAAAGAACTGGACGGTGGTGACTGGGGGAGCTGATATCGCTATTATTTTTCTGAGGTAGTAGATTGCACAATCTTTTTACTGTTTGTAATTTTTTCCCACGTATAGGTACTATTTTAATCATTATAAAACCAAGGAGGAGTTTAAAAAAAGAAGGCCATGCCTGGAATCCGTCTACCTGGATTCAAATTCCTGCTCTATTATTTACTATCTGTGTGCAGTTGGCAATTTACTTAACATCTTTAAGTTGCAGTTTTCTCATCATAAAACAGGGAATAATAATTCCTACCTCACTGGGTTGATGTATTAAACGAGATTATGCATGACAAGCACTTTGCTAAATGTTTGGCACACAGGAAATGCTCAATAAATTATAGCTGACATTAAAATAGAAATAGTAACTATTATTCCTAACACCACTATTTTTTCTTTAGGGGGTGAAAATTGTTATTGGGATGACTTTGGCTGCAAGTAACAGAAAAATTCAACTTAAATTGAGTTAGTCATCAAAGAAATATATTGTTTCAGGTAACAGGAAGTCAAGAGATAGATTCTTCTCTGCTTCTCAGTGGTCCTTTTTCTTTTATCTTCTTCTGATGTTGGCTCCATCCTCACATTGGTAGGAAGATTGCTTTCGGTTCCCTGGAGTTGGGGACAGTCATCTTCCCCTGAGCCACATGGTGGAGAGGAGTATTGAAAACCTAACAAAATCATGACTCATCTTGATATCTCTTGGAGTCTTCATTACTTGTGTCTCCATTATTGGAGTATCACCAATTGTGAAAATATTGGTTAGTATGACATGATACCATTATGCTGAGATTGTGCACTTCTATAAAGAACGATATATGATCAAGGAGAAAGCTATTTTTCCCTTACTCAAACTGCAGAATAAAGAAGTTGATGTTGAGACAAACTACAGTTTCCAAGGCTGGGAAGTCCAAAGTCCAAAGACCACATCTGGTGGTAGTGACAGTGACCCAGGGGTCTCACATTGCAAGATGGTGGAAGCACAACAAGACAAAATACCACTATTATTAAATGAGCCCCTTATCTATAAAATCTCTACATAATATAAAACGATCTGTTTATAAAAATGTTTCTATTTCCTGGAAGCATAAGCTATAGCTCTTTAAAAATATATATATTTAAATTATGCAAAACGCTAAAAAATTCAATAGACATAAATAAGAGACATAAAAGTGTACAAATGTGTCTGATTCTTCAAAGCACTGTTAGACAACCCTAGACCAAAATTCCAATGCCATCTCTTATGAACAGTGGGATTTTGAGCAAATTACTTAAACTGTTGATGCACTTCGGTTTTTATAGCAGCAAGCTTGGAATGAAAATACCTATCTCAAGGGTTATGCTGAAGATTGAATGAAGTGATACAGAGCCACCATTCCTCATCTGAAACCCTTGGGGTCACATGAGTTTTAGAATTTAGAAATTTTTGGATTTTAGAACAGAATGCAGTGCTATTTATATATTACATAATGCTTCTAGCACAGTCTGGGACAGAGCCCAGAATTAAACACAGCAATATGATTTTCCACAGTAAAATGTATGAATATTCACACTAAGTTGAATAAATACAGACCCTAAATAACTTGCATATCCACTCAAGACAAGTTTTGCCACCAAAGAAGAGTGTGCCAAACTTTTAAAAAACATTTGGTTTTCTGCTCTTTTGGAATTTGTAATTGATAATTAAGAATTGTGGACCTGTGCATGTATACAAGTAGAATGCTCTACAGTGCTCAAAAGATGGTTGATATTATTACTATTGTCATTGCTGTTATTGGCAGAAAACTTTTACAGTGTCCTTCCTAGTGTCAGACACTTGTATTTTATTTCTCAAAAAATCCTATGGGGTAGGTAATATTATCATTTCCCACTTACAGATGAGTACCTGGAGACACAGAGAAGTTAAGCAGCTTTACTCAGACTTACCCACATAGTTGAGAATTGAACTTTGGGATTCTGACCTCAAAGCTCATGCACTGAAGCGCTACCCTCCAGGATTATTTCAGCTGTGTGATGTTTCAAAAGCACAATAATCAAAGCCTTTCTCTTCCTCTTCCATCTGCCCTTGAGTTTTTTTGCGCTTTCAATGCTTCGCCTTGCATGTAACCTAAAACTAGGCCTGTAAGGCTCTGCATGACCCTACCCTTATTTGCTTTTCCAGCCATTTTCCATGCTCTCACTTCTCTGTTCCTTGAATGTGCCTTGCTGCTTCTAGACTAAGAACTTTTTCCACATGCTGTTTCTTAAGCCTGAAACATTCCTCAACACAGCCATCCACTCCTAGAGCTTCAACTTACTTGTCTCCACTTATCTCTGAATTTCCCTATAAGTACTGCTTCTCTTGGGAAGTCTTCCCTGACTCTAGGTCCCTAGGAGTCATGGTTATGAATCTAGTTATATGGCATTTAAACATGACCTATCCTGTCTGGGCCTCCCTTTCCTCATCTGTAAAAAGAAGACTCCATGCTAGATAATCTAGTTCTTCTTTATTATCTAAAATCTCCATATAAGATTTTAGGAGCATTAAAATTCGGGGATTTTCTACAATGGCAAAGTGGAATATATACATAGTAAATATTGTTGACAATAATGCATTCTGCATTGACCCAGGAAATGACTGGACACACAATATATAGTATCTGCAAAAATCAATTTCCTTTCTTTTATGTCTGATTTATCCATATAAAACCAGCATAAAATTAGTATATCTAACAGACAAAAAATTTCAGTAATGGTGCTTTGTTTTATGACCATGAAATGCAAGGATAAAGATATGGAATTAATAAGCCAAAAAGAAAAGATCAGGTATAAGCAAAACCCTGATTTATTTTATAAACAAATATGACTAAAATTTCTGGAGCAAACAGGATTGAAAAGAACTAAAAAATATTAAAAGCATTAGTTTCACTTATACCTAGATTTATCCTCCAACCTTTCTTACGCCCCTGAGTCCCCGTTCCTCCCAGCCCCGTTTCTCTCCACCACAGGTCTAGTAAGGTTAAGTAACTTGCCCAAGGTCCAAACAACCAATTAATGACAGAATCTGAATTCCGTAGACTCCTAGGAAATGTGTAACTTTTTGTCCTCAGATGACAATTCCAAGATCTCTGAGCATTATTTCAACAAAACAAATATTTTCATAATCAAGAAACACAAAGGAGTCCCAACTCAAAGCAGATAATGATATCAATGTCATATCAATCTCTGGAATCATCCAGATTAAAATGGAAAACTTTCACAAAGATACAGATAATATTCGGCTAAAGCAATAAAATATGGTAGAACTATGAGAACAGTGCACAATAATATGAAGGAATGCCTCTCTTCTCAAAGCACGTCTCCACAAAGTAAAGAGGAAAATGGACAGGCAACCAAAATGACCATGGTGGCCAACATATTCCAAAATGGTTGGATAGAACAGCTCCACAATTACCTGACCATGAGATCTTAAACACTGCCTAACCTTTTTCTGTTTCAATTTCATCTGTAAAAATGGGATTATTAACACCCAGCCTTACTATGTCATCAGGTAGTTTTGAGTATAAAATACAGTTGTTAAGAAAAAGTTTTGATAAGTCAAGTACCATTAAAAGACATGTTTCCTGAAGAACCTAGCAAAATCCTGATTTCAGTGATAGTTAATTGATAGTTAATTAGTCATTATCAACACAGTCTGTTTTGATGACATAACTATTAGGATAGTTATTTCATTATAAATATATATTGAATACATGCTATTTAGCAGACACTGTGTTAGACTCTGAGGATACAACAGTGAACAAGACAGACAGACAAGGCCCAACCTTGGGGAAACGGGTACCAAAAAATAAATAAATAAATAAAAGGCCCAAACTTTTTCTTTCTTTTCTTTGTGTATTGGGGGTAGGGGTTATGTCAGGGACTGTAACAAAAAGGTAAACAGGTAAACAAATACAAAATTGATAGAGAATAAAATGTGGAGGGGGTAGAAGTAATTCAACTTTAATTTAGAATATGCTTTCTGAGAAGATAAATTTATTTTTATTTTTATACAATTTAGAAGGGGAATTATATATTAATATTTGGATTTATGAGCACATTTTTTGGAATCAGTCTACCAAGGAGGATGAGAATTTGGATTCCTTTGTGACAAGAAATTCTCTATGAGAGTTTAGAGAAGAGTCCTTATGTGGGATCATAGGAAGTCTGAGAACCGCTGAAAAGGAAAGCAAAATTCTTCTGAATAGAGGGTCTCTACCTTTCAATAGACTCTCTAAAGGAGTACTACCCAAAGGAACTTTCAGGGAAGGTAAAAGGTTTTGTATCCACCAATATGGTAGACACTGACCACATGGGGATATTGAATGCTTGCAATGTAGCTAGTGATACTGAGGAGCTGGATTTTAAATTTTATTCAATCCTAAATAATTAAAATTTAAAATTAGATAGCCAGGTGTGGCTAAAGACTGCCACATTAGACAGTGCAGCTCTAAGGAGTTTGTGACCAGAATCACTGTGCTCCCAAATGGGAAAATCAGGTTCACGTAATAGCGAAGGCACTTTCCCATGACCTCGTAGTTAGTTTCTGATGCTCCTGAAAAAGGGTCTGCGTTATGGCCAGTTTTTCATCTCTGGCACAAAGCTGACCATAGTAAATGTTTAATGAATGTTTGTTGAATTGAAGTGAATGAAAAAATTGCCTTTTTGGCCTTCCTTTATTTCCTAACCCATGCTTTCTTGACTAGATGACACAGCTTCATTTGTGAAATTGTTTGCTGTTCCTGGCACCTGGCCTTTGGGATGTGGGTGCCTCTCCCTGCTTTGTCAGCTGAACACCTCCTCTGTGAGTCCCGCCCCAGTGACCCCAGGGGGAATTAATCTCTCCTGCCCTCTGTACAGACTTCTACTATGGCACTTATCAGAGGCAGGTACAATCGTTTTTATTTGTTTATGGGCTTTTACCTTCCACACTAAACTTGAGGTGCTATGAGATCCTAATTAAGAGTGCCTTACTGAGTGGAAAAATCTTGATTCAATTCACCTGCAACTTGCTAAGATATCTGAACTTGGGAAAGACATTGAACTTCTTTAAACTTCTGTTCCTTCCTCTATAAAGTGGGAATAACATAGCACCTACGTGAGAGGTTGTAACAAGGATGAACTAAGACAGAGAGTGTAAAGTACATAGTGCCTGACACAATGTAAACATTCAATACATTTTTGTTATTGTTGTGGTTAGTCCGTAAACTCTTTGTGGGGAAATTTATTAGATTATATTCCCTTTTTTTCATTCCTCATACCTAACACAATGCCTGACACATAGTAAATGTTTAATGAATGTTTGTTAAATCGAAGTGAATGGAAAATTTGCTTTCCCAGCCTTCCAACTAATTTCTATTTCTAAATACACTGTTGGTCACTTTTAAACATCCATTTAAAACAACATGATATGCTGCCAAGTCTATGATCAAAAATATGGTCACAATTGAAATTATTGTAATAATGTTTAAAATTTCTTTTTGCTGAGTTTCTGTTTTAAGAAAATATTAAAATAGTATTTATATTATACTGTGTTTTAATTATAACCTACGTTTTAATCCAGAGAAAACAATAGCCTAGGCTTAAAGCTCAACTCTTTGCATATCTGATTTGCCATAGACTGTTGGGAGAAACCTGCTATGAAACTAGTTCTTTAAATTTGTGTTTTTCAATCTCTTTTTATTTATTATTTTTTAATCACAACCCGTAGTTTGAAATATACTTTGTATCATGACCCTTGCACACACAAAACAAAATTTTCATGAAACGACTCTCATCCTTGTTTCTTGAGGGGCACGCTAATTATCACAACCCGTAGTTTGAAATATACTTTGTATCATGACCCTTGTACACACAAAACAAAATTTTCATGAAACGACTCTCATCCTTGTTTCTTGAGGGGCACGCTAATGTTTCTGTTCTGTTCTATTTTATTCTACTTTTTAAAGCTGGCCATAAGCCACTAAATAGATTCCATAATCCCCTGGCATCTGAGATTGCCATTTTAAAAATACTGCGTTAAATAATATACTTTAAAATAATTTTTCAAGTGTCCTTTGACATTAATGTCAGAACTGTTAAATGTTTCACTGAAAGAATGGTGCTAATTTGACATAATATCCAATGAGGAATTTTAGGGAAAACATGCTTAGATGTAATCCCAATAGGGTACTCACCTGCTTATAACCCTAAAAAATTCACCCCATCTCAACCTCCCACCCTGATCTTCTGTGTCTGAGTCATGTTCAACAGAGATCAATTGCTATGATCTCAAACAAAAGTCTCCCAGATTTCCTCAGTCCCATCGTGGAAGCAAGAGCACCTGTGAGCAGTGTCCTACCTTTCGCAGGCTTCATACTCATCATTTCCGGGACAAATCCTGACAGCGTGCAGCTGTGGTGAGGATTAATGTGACTCGAATTTTCTAACCCCTGAAACTGCATTACCATTCTTAGCTTACTCACAGAGACTGAAACTGAGACTAGGTAAAGCAAAAGAGAGGCCAGAGGTTGTATGGTTTACTGATTAACCTCATTACAGAGCAGAATATTTGTAAATGTTTATGACAAAGGTCCTCGATGCCAAATTGCCTAGTAAGCTGGAAACCAGTCTCTTCGATAAACATTTTCATGGAGCACTTTTCTAGTTTAAGAACTTTTAGAGGATAGATTTCTGTTCCGTGGCTCTAACACTGGATTTGGAGGTCAAGTGCTGTGCTCAAGGTCTTGACATTTGTTCCTGTCGAAAAGCTACAGAATGCTGTGATTTTGTAGTGTCAGGAAGCATTAAAGCTTAATGCTTAACAATGTAAGGTCTGGAGGCCAACTGACCAAGCCAACTGGGTTTGTATCCAGTGATGTAGGTTGAATTGAGCCTCCTCCCAAATTAGTATGTTGAAGTCCTAACTCTTAGCAGCTCAGAATGTGACCTTATCTGGAGATAGGGTTATGAGAGAGGTAATCAAATTAAAATGAGGATTAAGGTGGGCCCTAGTTAAATGTGATTTGTGCCCTTAAAATGGGAAATTTGGACACAGACATAGATAAACATAGACGGAAGCTGATTTAAAGAGACAAAGAGAAGATGGTCATTTACAAGCCAAGGAGAGAGGCCTGGAGCAGATTCTTTCCTCACAGCCCTCAGGAGGAACCAACCTTGTTGGCACCTTGATTTTGGACTTCTAGCCTCCATCACTGTGAGATAATAATTCTGTAGTTTAAGCCCGCAAGTCTGCAGTACCTTGTTCCAGAAGCCTTAGCAAACTAATATATCCAGTCTTATCTTGGCACTTGCTGGCTCTGTGGGCCACAGAGAAATTCCTAAACTATTTTTTGCCTTTATTTTCTCAATTGTAAAGTGAGGCTTATAATTATACAACCTCATAGAGTTATATGCAGAGTAAACTTAATAGTATTTATATAATGCTTAGTACAATGGGTGTTTACTCATCATCATCACATTGATGTGAGGATTATTCGGCTTTTGACTCATGTTGTAGCTTGGGTTGCTTATTGAATATGAATAATTCCATTTTTTTATCTTGTAGCATAACTTCTGGATATCAAGCCTAAGTCTCTTGGTTGTTTTTTTAGAAGAGAGGGCTTTACAAGGGGACTCAGGAGGTCCAGGTTTCAGCCCAGGCATAATGCATCCAGACGTACTGTGTAATCTTAGCCGAGTCTCTCGGTGTCTCTGAGCCACCCTTGTGTGCATTAACAGATAGAAAACATAGATAGTAACTCCTGCCCTGCTTCGCTCGAAAGCTTATTGTGAAGATAAATAAATATGAAAGATATGAAGATAATAAATATGAAAGCAGTTTTGAAAGGCAGAGTGATCTATGTAATGCCACAATTGTTGCTAAGACATTTCTACAGACTTTACAAGTTTACAGAGTGATTCCATGTGCTTTATCTCATGGGATCCTCATGTGCATCCTTTGAGGAAGGTGTTACTTGTGATACCCACTATTTCCATTCCTGTTTTAAAGATGAGGAAAAGCAACTCCGTTGTTTTCTATAGTCACCCAGTTAGCAAGGGATGACGCTGATACTTTAACCCAGGTCTTCTGACTCAAAACCCCGTGGCTGGAAAACTAAGGCACACTTGCCATGAAAGAGGAAGAGAGTGGTGGTCTATGGGTGTATGGTTTGGATTTCTCAGTCTAGAGTCACCCTTTGCAAAGCTGTTCCCATTCCTCAGTTTACTTCTGCTCTCATTCCCCTCTCCTCACAATCCCACAGCTATCCTGGCCTTCAGAGGATCTTAGGGGGAGACCTACCCAGAGGATGTGAACCAAGACAAATGTCCTCTGAATCTTCTATTTGGAGTTTTCCACTGAAATAAATAGGCCTGTCTGCTGCCCTCAGAAACACCTATAAGGGCCTTCAAAAAGTTCACGGAAAGATTCATATTACCTCTTAATTTTATTTTTCCATGAACTTTTTGAAGTACCCTGGTATACTAAATATGAAATAAACAGGATACTGATCCAGGAAACTCTTTGCTGAGTGAAATTTACATAGAATGCTGTCATAATATGGCTGGCTGGATCCCTTTGATTCTCTCTCAGAGATGACCAACTGCCTCATTTTTCTAAACATACACTTTTTCCTGAAGATCTGTGCTCTCTGAAACAGTTGCCGCTAGCCATATATAGCTATTTAAATTTATTTTTTAATTTAAATTTAAACTAATATAAATTAAATTAGAGTTGGTTTCTCAGTCACACGAGTCACTAAGTATTCAATAACCACATGTGGATAGTGGCTACTGTATTGGACCAAGTAGATCTAGAACATTCCCTTTATCATAGAAAGTTCTATTGCATAGAGCTGTTGTAGATGGTACTTGGGGGCAATGTGACTGATCTGCCAGTCATGGTGAGTGGGGCATCAGCTAGGAAAGCATAAAAAAGGGAAGTCCCAGAGCAAATGTTAGCCATGCTTTTCTTAGAACTATCTTTGAGAGGAGACATGGCCAACAGACTTTGAGTGATGCGATCTCAGTGAAAAGACTCTTTCCACTGAGAAAGTGAATAGGAGTAATCTCTTAGCCTGAAGCCTTAAACATTCAATTTTAATTCCTTGTTCTGATTACATTTTGGTTGCCTACTTACTACTTATGGAACCTTAGCAAATTATTTAACATTTTTAAATATTCACTTTCTCACCAGAAAAGGGAAATAGTAATACTATCCACCTTATAGGAGCATCATGAGAATTATATTAATGGTAAATAGAGTACTTACAATGTGCCAGGCATTCTTCTGAGCACTTTAATAAATAAGGCAAATAACTTGCACAGAGTTAGGGAATTTGGCTAAGACCACAGAATGGTAGATGGCAGAGATGGAATTGAACCCAGTCAGTCTGCTAACAAATCTAAAATGTACTTAGCATGATGTCTGACACATAGAAAGCACTCAAGGAATGGTAGTTGTCATCATCACAATTCTTTTCATTACTGTAAACTTATAAATTTGCAATCTAATTTTATAGTCAATCTTTCTCAGCGTGGTGCCCCTGAGACTCTGTTTCTTAGCCCAGAAGGTTGAGAACCAAGCCCTAGACTACGATGGAATCACCCACCAGCTGGCCAACTTGATACCTCTCTGTCTCATTGTAAATGATTTTCCCAAACGATAAATGCCCTATCTAAAAAAGCAGTAGTCTATTTTGTAATAAGGACAGGCTCATTCAATACTTCTTTCCTCCTCCAATTTCTTTACTCTACTAGCAAGAATATCAGATCTGAGATTCCTTGAGACAGAAAAATCCAAAACCACAGTAAATTAATAAAAACCTTAGAGATTGCTTAGAGCTGTGAAAGATATGTGGATAAGAGACAGTAGTGACAAAATATTTCAAATATGCTAAAACAAAGCTTGATTTTGTCTGAGACAACAGTAGCTTTCCATCTTCTGGAAACTTTCAGCTTTAATTCACCCCACAAGTCAGAACTACACTCACTTGAGTTGAACTCTGTGAGATGGAAAAATACCTTAAATCAAGTGTCAGAAATGTTCTACAAAACTGCATCTCAAAACCTTTAATTGTATTCTAAAACATCTGACTGATTGTGTAACACCTGGAAGATTCTTTTAATTTAATTTTAAGACAGAAGCAAGAACCAGATTCCAAAGTGAGTATCTTCAAAGAAAAATAAAGCATACCCAGAGAAAATGGGCGTAAACAGCTGAGTGAAGCATAAAGCAAGGAGAAGCAGCCAAAGGAAATGGAATGTAAGTGAACAGGACTGTGTGGGATCTGCCTCCTGCCACTTGCCAGGCCTCATTCAGAATGGGCTATGGAAAGACTAGTAGATACAATAATAAAAATAATAGAAAACCTGGATTCCAAAGCTGTTGTTAGCAATGCTGTAATGTCAAGATGAGACAGAACATGTGTTCCCTTCCTTAGAGCATTGAAAAATTTAACCCTTGTTGGCTCCTTGAAAATTCTTTGCACTCAGCAATGCTAAGATAAACAGTACTTCCTTCTTGGAATGAGTGAAGTGGTATCTATCATCTCAACAGTTTAAAAGGTAACAACTACATTTCAAATCTGGATTAATTACCAAGTTTTATGATGCCTTGCACATGACAGAATACTTTCCCACCCAGCCCATTCATTCCTCCCAAGGAGCTATGAAGTGAAGGTCATTATCATCCCTGTTTGACAGGGGAGAAAACTGAAGTTCAGAGAGTCTCACTTATCTCTGAGACTTTATTTCTTTCAGTTCATTCTTTATTTCTACCAACATTCAGTGAACTTTTCCCAATATCACTGAGCTGAGTTGGGACTCCACCACCCTGGCAACTTTCTCTTGCTTCTTCTGTTGTGTTACCAGAATGTTTTGTCTATTTATGTGGCCTTTAAAATTCTGTGATTTTTAAGTTTTTAAACTACAATTTGCTAAAAGAAAATATAGATTTTAACTACTATACCACCTCCCATCCTATTCACTGTGTCTAACTGTGGAAAGCTGTGGACTTTGTCATTATTACCTTTTATTATGCACTTATAGCATAAAACATTGCCTTCTTCATTCACCAGAGACTCCTTTCTTAATCCACTAAATTAATCTTTGACCAAGTTTCCTGTCTGGACCTCCCAAAGGAAAGGAGACCTATCTCTGCGAGGTCACTATGTCCTTCCATTCCGAGTCCTCCATGTGGATTCAGTTACTGATGGGCTAGATTCCCATCTGGATTTGTCAGGGATGTCTGACAACAGGATAAATTAAAGGACCTCAGGAAGGTGATTGCAGCCCCATCTCTATAATTCCATTCTGTTCAAGCTTCTTTCGTTCTTTTTCTGGTGTGGTGTCACATCCCTTCAGCCTGCCTGTGACTTGAGCTGCATATGCCAGCTCTGACCCACCCCAGGCTGGCAGCCCGTCATTTCAAGAGCATGATGCACGTCTGCTTGCTTTCTGCCCAGAACTTCTCCTATACCACAGGAGACA